TTTGTTGATATTGCCATGGAAACCCAACGCGCCGACGCGCGCAGCGCACTCAGCGATCTGCTGTGAAACACCACCCTGGAGTCAAGGTCACTGGAGTAATTGGGAGACATTTTCACTGAAGTTCCTCTACGTCATTAACGCCTTTGGTTTCACACTCGAACGCCGTCAACAGCCACAGTATCTATAATAGGGCAAAGTTTCCCGAGTATTTCATGATAGTAACTACAGAATGCAGATGGACCAGAGACATGCGATCAGCAGCTCATGACTATGACATTCGGTTGAAATAAATCAACCACCAATGAAGTCATAGCCTACGATTAGGCAGCCCAATTCAAAGAAGATATGGAGCCGTAGATTTGTGGACGGCTCCGGCTCCGGTTGAGTACCTAGGCTCTTATTGAGCTTCGGACGCCACAAGCCATTTGCTACTTCTTCCCCACTTTCTTACCCCCCCCCCCCCCTTCCTCCCTGATTCCGCCACTGGCGGTTTCTGTCGCCTGCCGGCGCAGATGGAATGGGTGCGCTCGGACGGCTCAGTCGACTGTTGTTGTAAAGCGCAATTTGTTAAAATATGTGCAATTCTAACGCCGAATTAATTCGAAAAAGTGTCGAATGCCAAATCGTCTCCTGACTACAATGTTTGATGGATTGGCAATATCGTTGGTACTGAAGCATTATGAAACATTTATCTCGCTTTATTGAAGAGAGCAGGTTAAACTGAACACGTTTATTGTCTTTAATTGCGTACAACTCTCGGTTCGATATAAGCGCACTCTGTCTATTGAAAGCGCACCTCTAGGTCACGTGACTGGGGTGTGTCACGTGATTGCGCTTAAAACCGAAATCGGCGTCACAGGAGGGGGGCGGAGGGGGGCTGCGCGCCGCCAGCTGACGCCGGCCCGGCGGCGCCCGAGCAACCAGTCGGCGCTCGGCTGGGGGCCGCGGAGGGCGCCGGGTCGGGTTGTCCGCACGGAGTGTTCTGTGGAGTGTCCTCTGTTGTGTCCGCGCCGTGTCCGTACTGTGTCCGCCGCGTGTCGGCGCCGGTCGCCGCCGATGCGTTCCCATCTGCCGGTGCGCAGAACGCTGAGCGCACCTGAGGGCGCCCATCGAGCTTATCTGTCTCTGCGACGGCCCAAGAACAAAATGAGGCTCATACCAGGTGGGGAGAACGCAGAGATGCTAGCGCTGTGGCTGGGTGCCCAGCAAATCCAGCAGCAGTTGAAACGTTAACCTGTCTCTGTAACATTCTTGTGGTAACAATTTAAAATCGCTCCGCGTGGTTTACATGTATCAAGCTCACAGCTCAGGTATTCCAAGCAGACCAGGCATCCTTATGTTAGTCGAACCCTCCCCTCCACTAACACCTCCGCGCCACGGCGGCCTTTTGTCGCCGGTTAGCCGTCCGTCCGTCCGTGTGTCTTTCCGTTTCTCTGGCACCCACCGGCCGCCCGCCGTGGGAGTGACCGTGGGAAATATTCACACGGGCCGCGGTCGGCCGTGACAGCGCGTGTCGGTGACCGCGCGCTGGGCACCGCTGGTGGCCACGACGGAACCCCACGACTCGAACCGGGGCTGTGTGTTGTTCGACTGTACGACGGCTCTGTGGCGCGTGTCTGTAATGGTCTGTATGACGGCTATGGTTTTGACTGATCTAGCCATGGCGCTGATTGGTCTGCTCTTCGGCTGTGTGGTGGTTTGTGGTCTGATGGTCTGACTGGTCTTTCCCGGGGCTGTGTGACGTGTTCTTGGTCTGACTCTGGTCTGCACCGTGACTGTGATTGATGTGTTGGTCTGTATTACGTCTTTGATTGGGGTCTGGTATCTACAGCAGTTGTGATTTTGCACCAATAATGTGGTCCGTATTTCTACCTACATCGTTTCCGTGCACGGTGTTGTGTCTATACCGCAGCTGTGCAGTGGAGCGGTGCGCAGTTGACGTGTTCCTGGGTGGCCTCCGCGGCAGCCCACGGCCGGTGGATAGACAACTGTCGTAAAATACTCATTGTGCCCATGAACCGAATGCATTCGACTCACGAACCTGACGTCAGGACAAAGCGGTGACGACACACGAGCTTCACCTCTATGAATATGTTTCACGCCGTTTGAATGCGAACGTCATAATGTCTGACTTAATGAATGCGCTGGATTTCCCGTGGCATTCATGTTTTTGAGCTGCACAGGCGTTGGACGGGAGCTTATCAAGCCTTATTTGTTATTATAATACCACACCAGCGTTGTAAATATAGTGTAATTCCTGTTATCAGTGACAGGCTCGAACTCGTGTGGTATTATCCCCAAATGACGAAAGACACCCATTCCACTAAGCTCATTTCAGAGAAACGAACGTCCAACGCCCACGCTTCATGAACCCTGAAGCATCGTGATTCATTAATCACGCTTAACTCCTGCGTGATTTGTATGAAAGAGGTTGTTGGGGAAGTGAAATTGAGAAAAAGAAAAGATGAACTGTCGATTAAAAAGAAGAAAAAAAGCAAAAGTGCAAGAGGAACAGAGAGGTTGATGGGACGTTTTCGTCTTTGGACGTGCCTGCAGTGATGCATAGACTTTTACCGTCGAGCACGGGCGGTATATGTCGATATCCGCCTTCAATCTCAGATGCGTGCGCTGCTGAATTGTAAACCGCAGCAGCTGCCTCCTCGCCAACCAGCTGCTCGTGCCTGTGACGTCACAGGCCCACAGCGGCGCCTGTGGGCGGGCGGGCCGGTTCGGCCCGTATCTCCAGCGCGATCTGCATCGCCTGATGTCATTCCCACAGTCATCATAACCTGCGCTACCAGTGGCACTGATCACGTGACCCATTCGGCACCGCCCACCGGCCGAGAAGGCGGCACCGGTGCTACTGAAAACGGGAACAAATCTCCGCCGATTGGGCGATAGGAGCACGTTTCCTGAATAGGTCTCAGCTGAGGGTCCTGGATGCCGTGAAGTACCCGTCATTGCCGACAGTGGCTGTCTGAACAGCTCTCACTGAATGCAGGCGGAACGAGTGAGTCTCGCGGCTCGAGCAGCCACAGGTGGGGCCGGGGCACGTGGCCGGGCTCGTGGCGCGCTCACGTGGCCATCCCTCGCCGCCCCCGGGGAGCTCAGACACGTGGCTGGGAGGAGCGTATCGACCAGGTGGCTGCGTCGCCGGTCCCGACCAGCTGGGGGTGCCGGCGCCGGCCTGGAACCGGCTGCTGCAGCTGCCACCGGCCCCGGGCAACTGCAGCCACCGCCGCCGGCCAGCTGCACACCCATCCAGCCGGCTTATCGTGCCGCCGCGTAAAACCGCCGGCCCTCGCGGAGACGAGAGGCCGAAAATCCGTGGCCGGCGGTCTCGGTGACAGTGCGATACGGCAGAGGCTGCGGCTGGTCTGCACAGAGATCTGGGCGCCGCCGGCGATCCGGGAGCGTTTCGTGGAACTATCTTTAGAGCTAATTGAGTGGTGTGCCGCCGGGCGGCTGCAGTACCGTCGTGGCCGGCCGGCTGACGGGCGCAGGGAAGCCGCACCGGTGCCAGCTATGGTAATTAATCCGCACGGGCCGACTGCGGTTAGCGCCGGTGGCTTCTTACCACCAGGAAAACGACAGACAATTCTGGCGCCGAGGCTGTCAGAGCTCCGAGACGTCATTTGGAGGCTGCCGGTTCCCAGAAATCACCTAATTAATTTGTACGGAGTCTGTTAGCTTGGATCAAGTTTTACGCTCTGAATAATTTGCTGCGAAATGAACATGTAATGTTTTCTGCTGAGGACTCTTATTGTCATTTTTCTTTATGAATCTGACAGGGGGAGGTGTTGACAGGCGACGAACACATGCCTGTGGTCGTAGGGAGTCGACGACACTCTATCTTAGCATCACAAAGATAAAAAATTGGCACCTTGTCTGTGCGACCTCGACCGTCGCCGTGCCGGGCCGCCGACTGTTTACCACGGCCGTGAAATAACCCACGGCTCCCGGCTCCCGGCGAGGGCTGGCCTCGGCGCCGCGACTTTTTCGCTGAGCTGCCAACATTCCTGGCGGCTGCTAATGTGTTTCGGTGACGATGTTGTACTTAACGGAACTAATGGCGACCACCGAAAGGCCCATCTCAGCAGCGTGCCATCGCCCCACGTTTTATGATGTCGGTCTGAATGAATCGTTTCTCGGCTGTCCTCGCGAGTCATCACGAAAATAACGTTTTTGTCAGCTGAGTTTGCATGACGAACAGACATCTGTCGTACTAATTGATGGTATCATGGCTTTGCGTACGCCGTTTTTATTGATGCTCGCCCGTTGAATCTATTGAGCGCGGCACTCTCGGCCCCCTGTGGTGTTACGCGTATGCAGTATGCACCCCCGCCCCGATCCCCTGCGCAAACACTGGCAGTGCGCCGGTACGCGTCAATAGGCGCTGTGATGTAATTACCACGCTCTGTGTGCACATCTCGGGTCACGCTGCCAGAGCCGATTTCCTTTATTGAGTTTTTTTATGTTGCCGCTAGTCATGGCTTCGGGCCGATTCCGGCGATAGTGGCAAAAAACGTGTCGCGTTTGATTTAGGGACACTGCTTCAGATGAATAGAGGATAGTCTGCCACGAATTGCGGGTGTTGAGCGTCGAAATAAAGTGCGAAAACCGTCGCAGTTGTGGAGACTGAACAAAGATGTGGAGTCGAAACTTGATCGTTTTTTATCTGTTTGCAACGGTCTCTGTTGTATTTTCTGATGATATGACGACTTCTTGTTCGAGTCTGTCGTTCGCACAATCTTTGTCCTTGCTTCAAGCTTCCTCAATAAACGTCTCGGCACCTTTTTATTCGGCTGTCCCGCTACTTACTCGTGTACCTACCTCTTTATACCAACACACCTTCGCCTCTTTGTCGCACCCCGCCACCTTTTCCCCGCTGACACAGTTTTAGCTCTCGCTGTGGCGGTCGCCATCTTGAAGTGACCCGTCCTCGCTCTTTGCGACGCCGTTACCACCATGTTGAAGTGACCCCGTGCTCGCTGTTTCAGACGCCGTTCGGCCCGTGTCCGGCACGTGGGACGATCACACCATCTACGAGGATATAGACGAGGTGGGCGGCTGCAGCGGCGACGCGGCCCGCCGGCTCGAGGCGCGTCGCGAGCTCAGCTCCGACAGCTCATGGAGCGAAGAGTTCGAGTCCATGTCCGAGCCCGACGACGAGCCGCGACCCACAGAAAAGTGAGTACCACTCAGACCAGGATTTAGGGGTAAGAGTAACCGAACGACGAGTCGAGACCTAAAGAAAAGTGAGTACCGAGTTTAGGGGTAAGAGTAACCGAACGACGAGCCGAGACCCACAGAGTTTAGGGGTAAGAGTAACCGAACGACGAGTCGAGACCTACAGAAAAGTGAGTAGTGAGTACCCGCGTGGGGAGGATGTTGTGACAGCGGCAGAGCGCTTGGCTGCGTGCGGTTGCAAGGCGTGTTTGTACGCACACCCAACCTTGCGTCATTGCGTGCTCTCGTCAACACCGGTGACTTTCCCGTCCCTTGCATGACTGCGTTGGCGGTAGCTCTGAGCACAGTCACGATAGCCGAACCGCAGCGCTTGCTGCTCGATTATCTCGATGAGCTCAGCCTGCTGGCATCCGTTCTAAGCGCTCCATCACGACCTCAGACCAATGTCGCTGCAATGTTGACGTACGGCGCAGTGGCCGATCGAGGCTGGCTTCGGCGCCACATCTCACATCAATCCATCAATAGACCATTAGCGATCAAATGTAAACAGGGCGGCCATTCCTGGGCCCGACAGGGGGTCGACACCTTGCATGCTCCGGTACAGGCGGTGAGAAATGTCGGGTGATTTGGGGGTGGGGGGGGGGGGGGGGGAGGGTCCCTGGGGTACACCCAGGTGGGTGGTCTCAGACTTTGGCTCATCACAGGGCGTGATTGAAGGAATGAAATTGAGTGCCTGACATGTCGGAAAGTTAGTTACGAACTCCACAATCAATCATGTGAGTAGTTTGGCGTCAATTTAGATGGGCAAATCATCGGCGTTCCTATCTATGCGATTAATAAAAGCGATTTGAATTCTTTGTTGACATTTGGGTCGCGGTCTTTGTTTTTGCTCTCTCATAAGCTGACTAGTTATGTCGTTCGCTGCATGGCCCCCCTAATATGATCCTGTATTTGTGACAAAATCTAATAATTGTAATTTGGCTTGAGTCCAATGTTGTTGTCGATGTTGAAAAAACCATCAATTAAAAATGCTGCATTTTTAAGTGAATTGTCTCCTCATGTAGTCATCAACCTGGAACACAGATTTTATGTATCAAATATGGGTCCTTCGTTGGCTCTAAAACAGCATAGAGCAGTCTCACGAAATAATAAAACTCCTTCTAAACTTGGTCTGGGGGGTGTCTGAGAGAATTCTAAGTGCGGTGTGAAAATGTAACCGCCCGGGTATTTGTGAGAAGTGACGTCACATGGAGCGGACCGACGTCACAGTTGACGTCATAAACCCCAGCTCGGCTTTGAAGCTGTGACGTCGTTTGAGTTATAATTTGCGGCGCGGTCAGCCCGGGCGACAGAGATGGATAGGTATCCGATGCTGCATGCGACCACAAATCCATATCATAGGAGCTCAGCACCTCCACCGCAGGGAGACAAGGGGTAATCAATTTGATTTGATTTTTAGGCACCTACCAATGTCTGAAATACGTTAGTACGTATTGAAGCCCTTGCTTGCTGTTTAGGTTTGTCTTGTGAAGATATAGTTTCACCAAATGGATTATGAGTAAGCATTTTCTCCAGATTGTCTACCTATTGCTTATTCCTCGATGCATGATAAATTGCTTTGATATCTGAAATCATAATAGCGGAATGAAGAACTGTTGTGCGCTAGGACCCGCGGTCACCAAATTCCAGTGATAAATATGTCCGTTCGTTATGCAATTCAGCTGATTCACCCTTATAAACTCCGTATACTCCCTGGACGCTACAGTTGCAAAACGAATGGCTGCAGAAAATGAAACGCATGTGTGCCGCGTGGGTGCACACTTTTGTCATTTTTTACATTTCTTTTTGTGTCAATGTTAGCAGATTGGTCGGTGCCGGCGACGGTAAATATAGGTTATTCTGAAATAACGCAGCCACTGAAGGGCATCATTGATCATTGGTGAATTGTAAATTATGTACCTGTCATCGACCTGACGAAAAGGTCATGATCAAGTCAATTATAGATGAACGGTTGATCAATAGATTGACTTGAAGTAAAACTTGCTTGCAGGCTTATAACTATAACTGCAGGCTTATAAATATCGTTGAAAACGATCGACGCAAGCTTTTATTTTATACAAACCTTAGTTATCGCGTAACCTGCGTCTAAACGATCCTTTCAGATCAACTATCCAGCAAATGATCGGTTGGCGTGACCGTTTTTACGGCGCTCCATTTGACAGATGGACGCGTCATCTGTCAGGAGGGACGGCTGTCAAACCAGTCTGTCACGGCGCAGTTGACAGGCGCTGACCCTCTGCCTGCCGCGGTGGGACCTGTCTGCGGTCAGTGGAGTGGTCAGTGGTCATTGGTCAGGGTCACCGGTCAGCGGACTGGTCGGTGGTAGCTTCGGTCAGCATTCCAGTTTGGGAGGAGGAGCGGGGCGATGCAAGACTGGGCGATAGGGAGAGGGAGAGAGAGATGGGAGAGAGGGAGAGAGAGCGAGAGAGCGAGAGAGCGAGAGAGCGAGAGAGAGAGAGAGAGAGAGAGAGAGAGGGAGAGAGGGATGTAATGGAGCTAATGGGCCATATACACATTGAGCAGAATGCCACCGCAGCAGAGCGATACACAGGACAGCACGCCGCGGCGCCGGAAATGCCGCTGACGCGCCGCCGTCGATGGTGCTCGATTAGCTCTGATCAGAGGTATTTGTCGCATCGATGGACATTGATTCCAGATCACCACGCGTCTGCCGCTGGTTTTAGTGGCATGTGACGTATATGAGTAGCGCCTGCGTCATATGATGACATTCCAGGCGGCTTATTTAACATCTTTAGGGACAAAACGGTTTTTGTATTTACAGTATTTATTTATCGACAGTGCCCCAGGCCACGTTGCCACCCCGGGGACCCCGAAATAATCGATCCCTGTTGCCGTGTAGGTTTCATCAGTGGCTGCTGCTGGCTGGCGATACGGAGGTGCCCCGGCTGAAATTAGATTCGCTGGTGATTTGCTGCAATCCTGGCCCTGGCACTCTATTCGGTCGCTCGCCTCTCATGACGTCAGCCGTGACGACCGCGCTCCACAAGCTGCCGTTATATGAGAATTTACGCGGCCAAATGACTGTCCAAAGTCCCATTCATTTGGTTTGTCAGATTTTCTCGTCGTGAATTCGTTTGCGGATGCGCCGTCCTGCATCAGGCTATTGATGGGCTGGTGAAATGGCGTTTGATTTGGATGCTGTGGGAAACGTTTGATGTCTTCGTTTGTTTGGTGTTTGTATTTAATTTGCGGGGCGCTGATTGACGCTGAGTGACAAGTGGAAGTGATGAATGATTTTTTTACAATTAATCCATTAAGCCTACCTTTGATTACATTATTTGAAAATCAACGACCAAAAATATCTTAATACAAATAATGTTAGGTATTACTTATCGCATTCGTTACTTGCCGAAGTTAATATGAAATAGGTACTCGGCTACGACCTGCATCCGACAGAGTATTCTGCAGCACCGCTGCTATGTGTTTACGCTCCTCGCCATGCATTGACGTCATGCGCGCAGGTCAATGGCTTGTCCGCCTGATAGAGCCATTGAGGCATCCTTACAATGTCGCACATTGTGCGTCAGTCCATGTAGGTGACGAACAGTCCCAGCCGGCAAAATAACCCCGGTATGGGTGACAAGTTATTAGCACAGAGCAGTGAGTACCGCCTCGACTCTTTTTCCGAGTGACTAGGGCGTCCTGACAGAAATGATACGCGTCTCGGAGGTAGCGCTAGAATTGCCGTATGCTACTAACTGATAGGGCCGCGCCTATAACTCTCTCTCGCGGCGGTATGCATTACTTGCCGAAGATCCAACCGTTTGCCTTTGGCGGCTGTGTGCCTATCGTCATTGGCAGGCGGTTGCTGCAGTCGGGACTGGGTTTACGCTCGGATAGCAACTGAGTGAGTGCAGGCCACGTTTATCCGTAACCCTGCTATATTTATTGACAGTTTGATGGTGGATTTTATGCTAGAAGTAATGTGAACTGAGTGCATCTTTCATAAACTCTGAACTTTTCCATATCGTCAGGGTAGGTAGTCCTCTGAAACGCATGATCGGAAAAAAGCACAATATTTTTCAACTTAAGATTTAACTTGGTCGCTGAAGCAATTCATAAACATTCACGGCGAAGGCATTGATGAACAATGCAAAACGTAGTTATACAGTTAACTTTATACAACCCGAGCGGGCCACAACAAGTGTTTTTGTTCCTGCGTACACGCTACACAGCTATTGTCCGGACTCCGGACTGACTGTGATACTGTGACTGTGGGCTGCGCGCCCAGTCCGGGCACTGTGCACAGACAGGATGGTCGTGAAGGTCGCTGTCCGGTGCATCTGCGCCGTTTTTACCGTCTCCTTTCGCTCTCGTGCAGGAGTAATGCACGCCGCTCCTCCCTCTGTGCACTCGCGGGCTTGGCTTGACGCAGTGACCGGTCGGCGAAGGACAGAGCCACGTCCACAGCAAAAATCGTCTCTTGAGTCTCACCTCACAGTCGCTTCATGTCTTGGCACCTCATGAGACTGACTTTTGCTGTTACATCACTGTCGCTGGGTTTTGGCAGCTCGCGGGACAAAGTTTGTGCTGTAACATCAGTCTCTCCAGGTTTTGGCAGCTCAAGGGGCAGAGTTTCTGCTGTTACCTCAGCCGCTTGGTTTTTGGCAGCTCATGCGGTCGAGTGTGTGCTCTGTCGCTCTCGGCTACAGCCCACCACTCTACTCCACCTCAGCGACACTGGCCAGGAGGCTGTGTGATCAGTTTGGCCTCCTGCTGACGTGTTTGTCAGTTCCTGGCACCAGTTACCACACGCCCCCGACACTATCACTCTTCCCAGCCCTGCTGTCCTCTTCTGCGGCCTTTCACCGTGCCGTCTTCTGCCAGCCCTGCCTTTTGTCAGTCCTGCAGCTCCTACCAGCCCCGCAGCTCAGCTCCTGCCAGCTCAGCTCCTGCTATCCTTCAAGTCCTGCCGGCTC